ACACACACACACACACAGTACATTGAATCAGCTTTAAGCGAATCAGTTTAATAAATGATTCCAAGTTGATTTGCCGCCACCTAGCCATCTGACGATTTTAATTTCGTATTTAAAAGTATCATTTTATTTTTCCATGATATTTCTATATTCAAAATTGTATTTTCTAAACAATTAATCTCAGCAATATTTATGTAGTTCTAATAGTACCAATTCAGAAGCAGCTTCTGTGCCACCTCTTTAGTGCAAAGATTAATTTTATTGTTAGTAGTAACAGCTCTATATAGTGTCTTATTATTGTTCTAACTGTATTTATTGATTAAATATAAGACATTTAATTATCAGGCAGTAAATGTGGTCTTGACTACAACGCTACTTTATAACATGATTTTGACATTTCAGCTTTCAAAGCATATACTGTGTGTTTTAGACATTCTAGGCCAGTAGAATTACATCAAGTGTGTGTGGGATGAAATAGTCAAGACGCACTTGTGCTTTAAAGATCATGTGCTTAGTTCTTGCTCATGAGGACTTTAACCACAAGTCAGCTGATCTCACCACACACTTAAACACTGACTCGTGGAGCTCCAGTTTAAAACACAACTGAGGCGTGAGGACCACAGAATCATCCTTTATATTACAGGAATAAAAATTTTAAAAAGACCAAGAACATACTCTATACTAGAACATGAAGTCGAGCTCAGTTCGTAGCTACACAAGTTTGATTTCACATGTACAGTAGTTGAAATTAAAATCACTTCCCAGTGTCGCCACAAGGGGCGCTATTGCCGAAATGATCATAAACTGTCCTGTTCTATGGTCAGTTTCAGCTTGAGGACAATCTCCGTTAAAGTTAATGGTAAAAATCTCCTCAAAACAGACATTTATAGCTTAACATTGACAGAATCAACACTACAGCAGCTACTGGCTAGAGAGGAAAGAGGCAAATGCATTGCGTATGAAATAAATGGGGTCATTTCTGCTTAAGTCAACATTTTCAGCATCTCAGCACATTTAAGCTTTTCGCTTTTTTTTTTTTTTTTGCCAAAAATGCACATGCAAACATGATTAAAAAAAGGGGAGAAAAAGGAGAAGTCATAGGCAATAATGCAATACGGCAAACGCTTTTTGCCCAGATTTTCTTACTGTGTGATAGTTGATCATCTCTTGAAGATTCTCTGCAAACTTGTTCAGACTGGACTGTGAAGAAATCAGAGAACATTACAAAGAGTCAGCACTACAGATTACAGGACAGAAAAAAATGTATGGTTATTTATCACAAATGCAGAAAATACCTAAATGAAACTCTCAAAATGTCCCATTTGACCATAAAACAAAACTTAAAATCTTAATAATTGAAGTCTGACATTTTCCCCCTATTTTCTCTATAAGTTCTTATTTTGACTTTTTATTAGGGTTGCAAAAAGGTGGACAATTTCCAGTAAATTTCGGAAACATTCCAGATATTTTAGAAACTTTCCAGGGATTTTTGGAAAGTTTCCGGAAATTTTCCACCCCTTTGCAACCCTACTTTTTAAAATATATTATTTTACAATAAAGTAAAAGTAAATTATTCAAAAAAATTTACTTCAGAAAGTAAATAAATGATTGTACTGTAATGCAACGAATGTATTTTTAGTCAGTATAAATACTTTCAGTCAGTTCAACAAATACTACCATAGTGCAATGGTTCATTTAAAAAAATAATCAATAATATTCATATATTCTTCATTTTTCTATTTATATATACTTTTTTCACATTTTAGTTGGTAAACCTACAAAAAACGAAATTTCGACTTTAAAGAACAGAAAATTGGATTGCAAAAGTATTAAAATAAAATAAAAAAATATCGTGTGATTTATTTATTTTTTCTTAACGGTATGGAGCCCCAAAGGGGTCATGATGGGAAAAAATAAATAAATAAAATAAATAAATAAATCTCTCAAAAATATTGTGTTTCCCAAAAAAACGTTGCATTCACGTGTAAAAACATTGAAATATAATTTTCTTTCTCGTACCTCATATTGTTTCCATCACAAAAGGTTTGCACATGAGAATGCAAAAGCATTGAAATATATACAGTGGGTACGGAAAGTATTCAGACCCCCTTAAATTTTTCACTTCTCTCTCTCTCTCTCTTTTTTAACCATCACAAATGTCTTTTTTTGGGGGGGATTTGGCTCTGAACGCAATAACATATGGTTATTATTTTTAAGTAAAGAAAACAAAGTAATGTTAAAACATGTCCAGGATGTTAATTGAACTGTGAAGGTGATAAAAACGAAACCCAGGTTGGGAAACACTAGTATTTACCTGCACCAAATGCCTATATGAGGAAATACACTGGTATCTTTTCATAGTACAATGGAGCGTACACAATGGATATTTCAAAGAAGCAGGAAAGTAAATATGCAAAGACTAGGAATGCTGGTATGTAGCCAATGTTTCTGTGTGAACACAGACCAAGCATGCTTTCAAACGATCCCTAAATAAACAGCAGTCTTTCAATTGGCACATCATACTACAGCGATCCAAACAAACTGGACTAGTCTTCGCTCCAGGGACGCTTTGATATGGCAGGCCTCGGGCTAATAAGAGCTGATTGGTTATTACGCTAATCGTCTGCACTCACCTCGATGACATCATCTTTGGCAGACTGCTGCGCCAATTCCTGAATCCCGTTCACAAACTGCCTGTTGGCCGTGTTGTACGCCTTTCCAGCATCTATCATCCCGATGCATAGTTTCACCAGCTAAACACAACACACAGTACATAGATGTATAAATGTACAGTAAACACAGATAAATCAAATATGCATGTAAAGTATATAAATATACAAATGTATAAATCTGTGGCCTTTGGTTTTGGCTTGTTATCATCTGTCAGGCAAAACTCACAAGTCTGACTGCTTAGAAAAGCGGTTTGTACTTTTTTTGCACATTTTTTTAGTGGTCAAAAAAACAGTAGGTTAAAAAATAAAGTCTGGCTTAGGTAATTGGCGTGTCAAAACAAAACAAAATAAAATGCAATCAAAAAAAAAAGTTATAAAAGTTTGATTGCTTAGAAAAGTGGTTGGTACTATTTTGGTCATAACAAAAAAGACGACAAAAACAAAACGAAACAACAACCAAAAAAAAAAAGAAAAACCAAACCAAAACAAAAAGAAAATATTTGGTTAAAAAATTAAGTCTGATTGCTTGTTGCTTTATCAAAACAAAACAAAAAACACACAATAAAAAAACAAGACGAAAACAAGTCACCATTATTTATATAGTGCTTTTTACAATGCAGATTGTCTCAAAGCAGCTTTACAGTATTAAACAGGAAAATAGTGTCGAAATAGTGTTCCATTCTCCTCTGGCCAGACGAAACCAGCAGTTTAATTCTAGGCTGCAAACAAACAAATAATATAAAAAATAATAAAAATAAATAATTAAATAAAAATACATAAATAAATGTATTTAATATAACAGGTTATAAAATAAAGTCTGACTGCTTAGAAAAGGTTGGTACTTTATT